TCGACAATTGTTAAGTCTGGGGTGTTATGTTGCAGGTGCTTGTCTGTTTGAATTCTGAAGTCCCAGAGCAGTTTAATTTTATCATTTTCTATGAATTTCTCTATTTTATGATCCCACAAGTTTTTGCTTACAGGCAAATGATATTTTTTGCAGATCTTCCAATGCACCATTGTTGCTACTTTGTCATGCCGCTGCTTGTAATCAGTCTGTGCAATCTTCTTGCAACAGCTTACCAAGTGGTCCACTGTTTCTTCAGCTTCTTTGCATAGGCGGCACTTACTGTCTGTTGCTGTATTCTCAATTTTGACTTTGTATGCATTTGTCCTTAAGGCTTGGTCTTGTGCAGCCAGAATTAGTCCCTCGGTCTCTTTCTTCAATTTTCCTGCTCTTAGCCCTTGCCAGGTTTTATTATTATCTGCTTTCCCCGCTATTTTTTTCATGTATTGGCCATGTAGTGCTTTGTCTTCCCATGCCTCTATTCTGTTCTTCATTTGTTCTTTCTTGTAGGCCAGTTTGGTCTCTCCAGTAGTTAGTAAGCCTTCCTGATATACTAATTTCAGTGCATCTTCATCATTGTTCTTCAGATATTCTTCCAAAGCCATTTTTCTTCTTCAACCATCTGATGTACTTGTAGCATTCCACGCCCACCTATTTGCCTTGGTAGATAAAGTCTATCAATGTCCCTGCGTGGATGAAGGGCGTGATTCATTGTCATTATTTTTCTGGTCTGCCTATCCATTGCTTTTAGTTCTGCTTGAGTCCAGTCCACTATTCCAGCTGTATACCTAATGACTGGGATTGCCCAGGTGTTGATTGCCTTTATGGTATTTCCTCCATTGAGTTTGGATTTTAAGATCTTCTTCACTCTCTTGATGTATTCACCTCTAATCTTTTTCTTGACTTCAGTGTTCTTGATGTTGTCAGCTTGAAGGATCCCCAAGTATTTGTAGTACTCTTTCTCATCCAGACTCTTAATGTTATTTTCGTGGGGCATCTTGATTCCTTCAGTTTTCACTATTTTTCCTTGTTTGATAGTAAGTGTGGCACATTTGTCCAAGCCAAACTCCATTACAATATCTTGGCTATATATACGGACAGTGTTGAGCAGCGATTCTATTTCAGATGATGTTTTTCCATACAGCTTCAGATCATCCATGTAAAGGAGGTGGGATAGTCTAGCAGATGTTTTTGATGTTTGATAGCCATGTCCTGAGTTATTCAGTATTGTTGACAGAGGAAACAGTGCAATAACAAATAGTAATGGTGATAATGAATCTCCTTGAAATATTCCTCTCTTGATATTAACCTCTCCCAGCCTCTCACCATTGATCTGCAACTGTGTCTTCCATTGTGCCATCGATCTTTGCACAAATTTTCTGATGTTTCTACTGACTCCTGTTATTTCTAGGCCCTTTATTATCCAATCATGTGGCAGAGAGTCAAATGCCTTTTTGTAGTCAATCCATGCCACATTCAGGTTGGTCTTCCTTCTCTTGCAGTTTTCAAAGATCATTTTGTCTATTAGGAGTTGATCTTTTGGTCCTCTGCTATTGGGGCGGTTTCCTTTCTGCTCAGGTGGAAAGAGATTGTTTTCAACTAGATGCTATTGTACTGCATCAGCTACCACACCAGTTAGTAATTTGAAAGTTGTTGGTAAGCAGGTAATTGGCCTGTAGTTACATGGTGTTGCCCCTTTTGCTGGATTTTTTCATTATTAGGTAGGTTGTCCCAGTTGTTAGCCACTTTTCAATTTCTCCTCCTTGTATTATATTGTTGAACTGCTTGGCAATGAGTGGGTATACAACAGTTAGATGTTTCAACCAAAACCCATGCAGTTCATCTTCACCTGGTGCTGACCAATTTTTGATTTTCCTTGCTCTTTTTTCTACCATTTTTGTTGTTATTACTAGTTCTTTCATTTCAACTTCTGTTTATTTGCATCCACCTCTTTTAACCAAGCCGCATCCTTGTTGTATTTCTTTGGGTTATCCCATATTTGCTTCCAGAACTGCACTGTTTCTTCCTTGTCAGGTACTGACTGATTCCTTGCAGTTTCTCCATTGATGGATTGGTAGAAACGTTTCTGATTGGATTGAAATTGGAGGTTCTGCCTATAGTTTGCAATTCGAGCTTCATATCTACTGATTTTCCTGGCTGTAGCTGTTATTTGTTGCTTTATTATTTCCAGTGCTTCCTTGATCTTCCTTGTTTCTAAGTGGTATTTCTTGATTAGGTATTTTTTGGTCTTCTTGTTCTTCAGCTTCTTTTCTTTCATCTGTTCTAGCTTGCTTGCATGTGATCTTAACTTGCTGATCTTATTTTCTAGTCTAACCTTCCATTTTTGTTGTGCACTGTTTGTTTTTCTTCTTTGTTGATTTTGCATCCCAGGTATTCAGTTATAACTGCAGCTGTGCTGTACATTAGTTGGTTTGTTTATCATTATTATTATTATTATTATTATTATTACTCTTGCATATGATGGTGGATTTTTACCTATTTTGACTTTCTTGTTTATTACTGGATATACCAACTGATGTCATGGCAGGAGCTTTGTTCTTTTTCCATCAAGATTTTGCTGCATTTCTGTCATTAAAGGCTGAAAAGCATATTTGGAAGGTATAATGTTATGAAGAACAGTGAATTTATCCATCAAGGGGCATGGTTAAAAAAAGTGTATTATGTTGTAATGGAAAGATGGTGCTGCCTTCGATTATTGTCTTGTATTGATACGTATTCCCCTATTTTTGAACGGTCCATCAAAATAATGAAGAAAGTTACCAACATTAGTGTAGAATTTAGTGCTGTATTTAAACATGAGCTATTGCAGATGTATCTGGTGTTTTTCTTTTTTTATTTCTGCATGTTGAAACAAATACCTAAAAGATCACATGCACTGGCAATTTGGGAAAGAGAAATTGCAGCAAGCTTTCCAGGGACAGCTATCTCAATTTTGAATAAGGGTGTCTCACCCCCATCAGCCTTTTGTGAAGCATCTCTTCCACTGCTTTGCACAGCTGTATAAACTATCACCATGACTTTGGAGCAACATTTGTATAAAGACTGAAAAAATAATACAGTTCTGAGTTTAAAATGATACATTTCTTTGATTTTGCAAAGTAGTTGAGAACTAATATTGATCCCTTTCCATTTTTAGAACACTTTAGAATATATTACCATGGCAGCATTATCCAAAATATTTGCAGTCACAGCAACATACCCGTATCAGGTTGTGAGGGCACGTCTCCAGGATCAGCATAATAGATACTCTGGAGTACTTGATGTCATCCGTAGGACATGGAGGTAGGCTGGGAATGAAAACCTAAGACTTTTTCTATGCTAATCTTCATTTTCTCAAGATTATTAAATATTTATTTCAGAGGGAAATGTTTTTGCATTGGAATTAAGGCAGGGGGCTGTCAACATTCCCCTTAGAACTATGAACCAGGGTAAGAAGATTTTCACAGGTTTCAGCAGAGGGAAAGATGGAAAGCCAAATATCTGACCATATTTTTTTCATTTTCCTATTTCTTTTCCTTCTGTGTAATAACATTTAGAATATAAGCCTATGAATATGGACAGAGTTTTTACATAGGGACTTGGCAATACCAGTCATTACCCAAATATGTGCAAATACCTTTTAATGACATATCAGTATGTTTACTTGTAGCTTCCTGAAAGAAAAAAATTATCCAGGAATTATTTCATATTTCTATTTGGAAATATAAAAAACCTATAAAGAATTAGTAATGAGCTGTGGTGGTGCAGTGGTTAGAATGCAGTATTGCAGGCTACTTCTGCCAACTGTCAGCAGTTCGATTCTTACCAGCTCAAGGTTGACTCAGCCTTCCATTCTTCCGAGGTCGATAAAATGAGGATACAATTTTGGGGGGGACAGTATGCTGACTCTGTAAACTGCTTAGAGGGGGCTGTAAAAGCACTATGAAATGGCATATAAATGCTAGTGCTAATTACATTCATAGGCCAGTTTTCTACAACAGCAATAAATTGACAATAATCCAGTAAAAACAGTATAAAATAACATTTGAGCTTATTGAAGCAATTTATATTGGAAGTTTTACAGAAATCTCTTTTGCTTTTCCATAGGAAAGAAGGAGTTCATGGATTTTATAAAGGAATTACGCCCAATGTAATACGAGTCACTCCTGCATGTTGTATAACATTTGTAGTATATGAAAAAGTATCTCATGTGTTACTTGGACTTAATCATAAATGAAGATTGAATATTGACTCCATATATCGTTCTGCACCCTTTCTGTTAAGCAGGAATGCCAACACCTGTCTGGCATAGATTTTTTTTCTGGATTCATATTTGTCACTTACCTTTTAAATAGACCAAGATCACCTGCAAGTTGGTATGTTTCAAACATATTTTATATTGATCTCTGTATCTCAAAATAAATTGTTCCCATTATCATCCTCAGTGAATTTTCCTTTCATTCTTTAGTTATCAAGGCTTAGTATGATTTTTAAAAAATAATGAATAGGACCAAAGCCATACAAGTAGACTTTGCTTAACAAATACCCTTTTTAGCAACTGTTCAAAGTTATGACAGTATTGAAAAAGAAACTTTATGGCCAGTCTTCATATTTACAACTGTCTCAGTGTCCCACAGTTATGTGGTCATCATTTGCATGCTTCACAGCTGGCTTCCAACAAGCAGAGTCAATGGAGAACCTGGAAGTAAAACTGCAAGTCACAGTCACATGACATCTTGTTTAACAACCATGGAGGAAACTGGCATTCTAAGTCCATTGTGGTCATGTGATGTCTCACTTAACAACTATCACTTAGTAAAGAAATTGCCGTCCCCAATTGTCATTAAATGAGGACTATTAGCAGTGGTGGGATTCAGCCAGTTTGCACCAGTTCGGCAGAACTGGTAGCTGATTTTTGTTGCCCAGGCCCAGAATGGACTTCCAGAAGCAACATCCACACAGAGAACCGGTTGTTCACATATTTGAATCCCACCACTGACTATTAATATACAGTAACATTTTGCTTGATAAGCAAGGCTATAGCGTTTTTCTGATTGCTTTGAAATTAGGACTAAAACTTAAAGTCTGCGTTGACGTAGTTAAATCAATATTTATAATTAAATAATTATATGACATTGGAATGAATAAATAGCATAATAATGGCTTGTAGGTAAAAATATAGCCATTAACCATTTTTGCCATTGCTCCAATTGTATTGCTGTTATATTTTGCCTGTCTTGCAAAAGTGCACTTTTTTTTAACCACTACCCACTCAAAATGATTTGTTCACCCAACATATTGCTGCGCCTGCTACACCAAAATACTTCCCCAATCTAACCAAGGCAGGGCAAGGAATATTAGCAATTGCTGCATGTTCTAACCACATTGGCATTAATTGTATTTGTGCTTACTCACATAGAGTTTTAAGTTTGCCTAGGATTATAGAATTTCTCATATATTTGACAAAATATTTGCAATCTATCTGTGGGTCTATGTTACTTAAAGTAGCACCATAATCAATAATAAAAGTATGGAAACAGATTTTTTAATATTTAAAAAAACTAAAGTGTTCACATATAAAATCTTTTCTACTTGCTTTAACAAAATAACTAGAACAAACATTTTCACTACTCAAATAGCAAGCTAGGGAGATTAGGCATGTTTTAGTCAGCACTGGATTGTTGTCATAGTATTTAGTAGTATGGCTTGGATTAGAAAGTCTCACTTATTGTAAATAGTGTAAATATTTAAAACCATTACAAACTTTTTAAATGCATATGGAAGATAAGTACAAAATTGGCAATTACACTATTTTCCCTCCTCTTTGGTATGATCAGTATTCTCTTGACATTGTGGAAAACCTGAGCAGGTTATAGTAAGATTTTCAAAAAGAACAAAATCTGAATTTCACATTTAAACTACTAAGACATAAATGGTTAAGGTTTTTGTTTGCGATCTAATAAAATGATAAACAAACGTAAGTTATATACTACATAAATACTATACCTTTTCTAAGTTAAAGGATATGCTCACTTAACTTTTAAAATTTGTTTAAGCTAAAAGTTTTTTAAAACAATAAAACTCAACAAAATTGCAAAAGAATTATAAACATAAAAATCTTACATGTGGATTTCCACATCATCTAATTTTGGAGGTTTCTTGTATGTCTTACTGATACCAAGTCATACAAATAGGAACAAAGGGTACTAATGTCTCTAAGCTCTGCCAGCAAACAGCTAAGGAAATCAAAACTTTGCAAGAAAAATTACTTTATATATTAACCTTTTGTTCATATTTGTAGTAGGTTGAATTGTACGTGAATATGGTGTACATAGATTTAAAAATCATGTTCATTTATACATTTCACTAACTTTTATCTTTAAGCTTTTATACAATGACTCACATTCATACATTGACTTGCTCTTACATTTTTATTTAAATCAAAAAAATTGCATATATCGTCCATCATGCCTGGCATAGCTTCTATGCATATGTCAAGGTGACAGCTATACACTAGATAATAAAAATACAGGTTTGCTAAATTACTGTATTACAATTGCAATAATTTATGCCAAATTATTTTTTTCAGGTAATTTTTTGTTTTATACATCACAAGAAAAAAAAATTCTTTTCAATAGGAACTAGAAGCTTATAAAACAAACCATACTTTGAGGAAATGGAGAAGAAACACTTGAATAAAAAGTTGCTTTTTATTATTATTTTTAATATAAAGTTAACATTGGTTATGTTGATTTTCTTTTTGAACAAATGCAAGGATATATAGAATTGATAGAAAATTAATCATTAATATAGATTGTTCCTTTAGGATCTATATTCCAAAATTCTGTAGAAAAATGCTAAGGATACATAGAATAAAAAATGGAACATTAATTGTCTACTGGTATTTCTGTAAGACCTCTGCAGAGGCCAGCACCAGGCTGACTCCTGTGGATTCAGGAATTAAGCAGGTCCAGGCTTGGTTAACACAGACCATGAATTCCCAAGAAATCCAAAAACATCCTGGAAGGAAATTACTTCTGTGTAACTGGCAAAAACTACACAGACACGTCTTGTTAAATCATTTGAAATTAAATATGGCTCAAGAGAGATTTTTACCTTACTTCTATAAATAGGTTTGTGCACTATAATCCAATGTTTTTTTTTTTCAACGTACAAAAACAAACCAATAAGAGATTGCATAAAGTCCTGAATGTTGTTTTGGGGATAGCAAGAAGAGACTGAAAGCTCTATTTTGGCAGTTCCTCTATAATTATGCGAGACACCGAGTTCCATCCCGTTGATGCATCTCCTCTTGGGTAATCTGAGCAAGTCCCAACCCAAACGGCAACATCCACCAATCCAGCATTGATTCCTTCACATAATCCTTCCACTGTTTAAAATGTAAAATACATTAATTTTACCCATTATCCATTGCAAACTTTAAACACTTAACAAGGGAAAATGGTATTCAGCACATGTAGAGGCAATCAACAATTACAGTATTTGGCTGACAAAGATACAAAGGGAAGGGAAGAAGCAATGCCTAACCCACCTCCCTTGCCATCCAAAGGGGAGTGGTGGGACCTGATGTCACAGCTTTTCTGTTGCTTTCCAATGTTCCTTTGGGCCACAGGAGGAACTTTCTTGCCCAACAAGGGGAAAAAAATCCTCTTCAATATCCCTCATCCTTCCATCTCAGGTTCCATACATGTTATCCTTTTAAAATATATTTTGCATGTTATCCTGAAGTATATATAAGATTTAATATGATTGGGAGAGAAATTGCACTTGTTTACTGAGGTTTTTTTTTTAGGAAAGTGAACAATCATTAATATATACAACTCATTGACCTTTTAATAAAAAAATGGATTTTTATTTAACTGTTTAACATTTCTCTTGGATGTTGCTCTCTTGGATATTGTTTTTCTTAGTCGGGGTTTCTTGTTATTGAAATATCACTGCAGAAGATAAGATTATTATTCTCTTTGCATGACTTTTATCTAAAATTAATCATGTACTCTCAATTTTCTGGATTTACATGGTATACCGTGCACCATAACTTAACAAGTTGGATTCAGTTTTTATAAAAATCCAGGTCAAAATATGTTTGGCTAGTATGTAGTCCAGTGTTTTGTGACAATTCAAAACTCAGACATGGTTAGCATTTTACCAACTTCATAGCACTTGAATTAAATACTTTAATCCTGGGAAGAACTCTAAATTTAAACTCCCCCAACTATTTAGCATCTGAAAAGAATATTGAGCTATACCACCGGTCGGCAACCTGTGGCTCCGGAGCCGCATGCGGCTCTTTGAGCTTTTCCCTGCGGCTCCCAGCCTCCTCTGCCATTTGCAGAGAGAGAGAGAGAGACAGAGAGAGAGAGAGGCACTCACGCTTCCCTGCTTCTCTCTCTGTTTGTCTCTCTATTGGTGGGTGTGTAAAAAAAGAGAGTAGACTCACGGAGTTCTCCGACGAGCTGAAAAGCTTTTTGGGCGGGGCTCCTCCCTTTGCTGCATCTCTGCAGGAAGCAGGAAGGACAGGAGAGAGCTAGCTAGCCCAGCTATGCTGACTCAGGAATTCTGGGAGTTGAAGTCCATGAGTCATAAGAGCCGAGGTTGCCTACCCCTGAGCTTGTTGGAGAACAGCTTGAAGCCAGCTTGCCAGGTGAGAAGATTGGAGAAAGGGAGAGGGGGGAGAGAAAGAGAGAGAGAGAGGAAAGAGAAAGAGAGAAAGAGAGTGGGGGAAGAGGACTGGCAGACCAAGGGCAGAGAGAGAGAGAGGGAGGGAGGGAGGGAGGGAGGGAGGGAGGGAGGGAGGGAGAGAAAGACAGAGAGAGAGAGACCCTTTTTATATCTAAAATGAAGATAACACTGTATATATCCTTTTTTACCTTTATGAGTAAAAAACATGCTCCTAGATTGGAGTGAAATGCAGAACAGACTGATTTATATTTTGCGGTTCCCAGTGTTTTGTTTTCGGTGAGAAACAGGTCCAAGTGGCTCTTTGAGTGTTTTGGGTTGCCTACCCCTGAGCTATACCAATCCACTGACTTGTCACAAGAATTTTATTTGCTAAGGATATGATATGACCCCAGTACATACCTGAAGATGTGCGATGTATATTAATAGTAGAATTTAATTCTGGGCTTCCTTGATCTAAATAAATTATAGCTTCAATAGGAAGTGGTCCAGAGCACTCAGCCCCATTAAAAGTAAAATACCAGCGTTGACAACAGGCATTTCTACATTTAAGTCGAAGTGATCCACTGAAAATAACTCTTAAAGCACTGTTGGTGCGCATCTTGGTGAATGTACATTCCTGTGGGAAAATAATAAATGAAATTTTGTAGAAAACACAAATATCCTAACCAATTGCTGTTCTGCAATAGGGATAACTCCAAGATATGTTTGAGCTATTCAGTTTCATAAAACTCAGATAAAAAATGATAGGGGGGGAATACCAGGTGGTAATGATGAACAAATTCTTCCAATTGAGCAGTATTTGTACTTATTCTGTTTTTTTTAAACTAAAACAATTTATCCAAAGTTAAACAGTCAAGGCATCATTTCATACAATAAGTTTTCTGACTGAGGAAGCTTCTTTGTGATGTGTGAATCAAGGATTGTCACAGTATGGGTAATCATTTGATGAACAAATTTGATGAATTTGTTGGCTAAGTTCACACCTAAGCCAAGTTTACAAACTTCAGTGATAGGATCACAGACTAGGCCAAAATCAAACAAGCCACATTGTGCCTTAATGTGCACTTCCAGTGAACAGGTCCATCTAGATCAAAATGTCTAGTAGAAAATCTTTTTAGTTTTTAGTTTCAATCAGGAATCTTTTTCAATCCCTCTCTGGAAATGCCAGAAAGTTTTTCATGCAAAATACACATTCAGCTACTAAGCTCTGGTCCAAAGTTAAGGGTCTGTAATCACAGATACTGTTTTATTTTAAACACCTTTCTATTGAATGGCTTTCATACATTAATCAATAATTCTGAAGTTGCAAAAACTGACTATTTTGAATAAAAGTATTGAAAGCCCATCTGCTATTAACTCATTAAAATGGTTACTTCCCTCACATTTCCATATAGGATTAGGCAGACAAATTGATTGTAATAATAATAATAACAACAACAACAACAATAATAATAATAATAATAATAATAATAAAAAGTTGGAAGGGACCTTAGAGGTCATCTAGTCCAACCCCCTGCTCAGGCAGGAAACTCTATACCATTTCAGACAAATGCTGTCCAGTCTCTTCTTAAAAACTTCCCAGTGTTGGAGCATTCACCACTTCTGGAGGCAGGTTGTTCCACTGGTTAATTGTTCTAACTGTCAGGAAGTTTCTCCTTAGTTCTAGGTTGCTTCTCTCCTTGATTACTTTCCATCCGTTGCTTCTTGCCCTGCCTTCAGGTGCCTTGGAAAATAGCTTGACTCCCTCTTCTTTGTGGCAGCCCCTGATATTGGAACACCCCTCGTCCTTCTCTTCATTAAACTAGACATACCCAATTCCTGCAGCCTTTCCTTATATGCTTTAGCCTCCAGTCCCCAAATCATCTTTGTTGCTCTTCTCTGTACTCTTTCTAGAGTACACTTCATGTTGAAGTGTTTTCTATCTAAATCCTAAAACTACAAAATACTGTATTAAATCCCTGAATTAATGGTTTTACACCAATACTAAATTCAATTTGAAGATCTATCTTAGGCTTTTTCAGACATTGTTCAATGATGTCAAGATGTCGCCAAGCAGGACTAGGCCAAACATTGGGTGCCTAGCCAGGGGCATAGTAAACTAGTTTAAATGGGAAAAAACTGAAGCCCTGCAAATACCCACTGTATCCCTTAAAGCATCCCCCAAATAGTAAAAATTCTACAATTTGAGAGTTTCAAAGAGTGAAGTGAGTGCTTGGAGTTTTTGCAATGCTTAAGGCACACCAATGCATCCACAGGGGGTCAAAATGATGGCTGTAACTGCTATAATCAAAGACCCACTTATAAAAAGGGACAAGCTTCAGTTTTACAGTTGAAACATCAAACATCCATTTTGACTTTCTCCATTGCTAAAACTTAAAAAACAGGCCATAGTGTTTCTGCCAACTCCAAAGATGATCTGGAACATACATGACCTTCGCCAAAATGGGATACTACATAGCTCCTAGAAGTGAACAGATGATTGGTCAAGCAGAAGCAATATGGAACAAATTCCTCACCATATCTTAGTTGTCTACATATTGTGCTATAGTTGTGCTTACTTACTGCAATTTTTCCAAGGTCTATGCCATAGTTCAAGGCACTCCACGAACATTGCTTATAGTTAGGTGTCCAAGATTCCTCAAAACTTTCTTGCATACATTCTCCTTTTTCTCCTTTAAGCCCATCTCTGCCAGGGATACCTGGAGTTCCAGGGATTCCGTTGATTCCAGGGTTTCCATCCCTTCCAGGAAGACCAATAGGTCCTTGCATACACATCCCATTATACTGAGAAACAAAAAGGTATGTTGGCATCACACAGGTATTATTGTATTTATTTAAGATAAGGAGAAAAATAGTCTACAAAAATGGTAGATCAGATGGGGGAAAACTCACATATTTAGCAAATTGAAAATGATCCTCCCATTTGAGGAAAAATAGTCATAATTTCAAGTGACTATAGATCAGCGGTTCTCAACCTATGGGTCGCGACCCCATTCTGGGGTCAAATGACCATTTTACGGGGATCGCCAAACAACGCGATCTGCCATTTTTCCCCCTCAGGGGGCGGTGCCGTGCATGCGCACCGCGCATGGGGGCGCCGCCGCGCATGCGTGCTGTGCATGGGGCGGCGCCACGCATGGGGCGGCGCATGGGGCAGCGCCGCGCATCTGTGTGACGGGGGTCGCCGTCACACAAAGGTTGAGAACCGCTGATATAGATGTTGATATTGTAGCGGGGCTGGCTGAAAGACTTTGCAGGAGCCTGCCTGGGGAGAGGGAAGCTTGGAGAGCTGCTGCCAGTTTTGGGCGCAGTGGGCGTGGATCGAGCAGAAGGAAAAAAAGAGGAGGAAAGAAAGGGGATGGGGGAGGTTGCTGTTGTTGTTGTTGGAGGGAGACCAGGTGAAGTCAAAAAGGGATTTGAGGTTTTAGCTGATCCCTTTCTGTGAAGGAGAGGGAAGGAGAAAGTGAGAGAGAGTGAGAAGGTGGAATTTTACTGCTTTCTTTTGCAGGGGGGATATCCCGAGCAGAGGCAAGAGAGAGAGTGAGGAGAGAGAAAGTTGCTGGGGTTGCTAAATTCAGATTTTAACAATAAAGGAAAGGGGGAGGGGGTTTGATACCAACGAGACCTGAGACTGCGAGCGACGACAGAAGGCTGGTCGTTACTGATTTGGAGACTAGCGGCCATCCAAACTTTGATTATTGTTACTTGTGCAAGTTACAGACATTGTGGGGAGTTGCCCTTGTGGGGCGAGCTGTTACTGCAGAACGCTGACTACCTTTATTCGTGTTCCTATCGCTGCCTGGAGCCGGGGTTTTCCCCACCCTATTTGTTTCCAAAGGGTCACTGTGAAATCATTGACTATTGCTGCTATGACTGCCTGGGGCTGTTAAACACCGTCACGCATTGACTATCGGGGCTAGGGGCTGGTCAACTTTGTTTCTGAAAAGTCCCCCTTTGACAACGAGAATCTGCCACCTCACTTCAAGTGAGCTTCTGCTAGAAAAGACACTTTACTAAACTGCAGAGCACGACAGAGGGGAGCGGGGCTGGGCGGAGCTGGCCTTTGGCAGCCTCTGAGGGGGTAACGCTACAATATCAAATAGAGAGAGATAATTTAGTTTATATTTACATTTTTAAAACAACTTGAAATCATTGTCCAGAGTAAAGCGGAACATGTATAGCATGTTTATCTAGAGCAGGGGTAGGCAACCCAAAACACTTAAAGAGCCACATGGACCCGTTTCCCACCAAAAACAAAACACTGGGAGCCGCAAAACCCTTTTGATATCTAAAATGAAGATAAGACTGCATATATCCTTTTTTACCTTTATTATAGGTGTGTGTGTGTTTGTGTGTGTGTGTGTTTACACACACAGGTAAAAAAAGGATACATGCAGTGTTATCTTCATTTTAGATGTCAAAAGGGTCTCTCTCTCTCTGTCTCTCTCTCTCCCTCCCTCTCTATCTGCCCTTGGTCTGCCACTCCTCTTCCCCCGCTCTCTTTCTTTCTCTCTCGCTCTCTCTTTCCTCTCTCTCTCTCTCTCTCTCTCTCCCTCCCTCCCTCCCTCTCTCTTTCTCTCTCTTTCTCCCCCCCCTCCTATCTGCTGCTCATTTGGCAAGCTTCAAGCTGTTGTCCAACAAGCTCAGGGGTAAGCAACCTCGTCTCTTTTATGACTCATGGACTTCAACTCCCAGAATTCCTGAGTCAGCCTAGCTGGGCTAGCTAGCTCTCTCCTGCCCTTCCTGCTTCCTGCTTCCTGCAGAGATGCAGCAAAGGGAGGAGCTCCGCCCAGTAAGCTTTTCAGCTCCTCGGAGAACACTGTGAGTGCACTCTCTTTTACACATACACACAGACACACACACACACACACACAAAAACACAAACACACACACACAGAGACAGAAGCATGGAAGCGCAATTGCCTCTCTCTGTCTCTGTCTCTCTCTGCAAAGGCAGAGGAGGCTGGGAGCCACAGGGGAAGGCTCAAAGAGCCGCATGCGGCTCCGGAGCCGCAGGTTGCCAACCTGTGATCTAGAGGGAGAAGAAATACTTGTACAATTATCCAAAAAGCTAGTCCTTGAAACACTCTATAAAATCAGTGTTACAGTCACTGGAACAGAGAACCAGATAAGTTGCAATACAAATCAATCCCATCACTCCTTTAATCTCTAGCAGTTCAATCCAAAGCATTTCTATTTCAAAATTATTCTCAGTGAATCAAGTGGATGTAAATTAAAATTAAAAAGATAACCTCATATCAATCTTCATTACTGCTGACCTCATTGACACATCCATATGTTATTTTGGCAATGTGCAAAGAAGTTTTTCAACTTCTAGGCTACAGTCTTGAGGTTTTTTTTAATTGGTCTTCCACCAAAACATTAACATTAACCTGGTCAGATATTCAACCATAATTATCTTCCAACCTCAGAAAAGGCTGGCCCAGATGCTGTCATCTGTTGGAGTTTGCTCCATTGGTATCAACTATCTAGAACAAATCTGAATTCTGCTTTCCCTGCACCCAGCAAAAGGGTCTTCTTTATGTATATCTATAGAAGTGTAGCTCTTGTTCTGGCTCATTAGAAGTGAATGATGAATTCCCAATATTTACCTCTTCTTATGCTGCTTAACTACCTGGCTTGGAGGTGTACAGGAGGCTTGTGTTTCCTCACGAGGCTTTTGGAATCAGTCACCCGTTGAGGAAGAAATGAAGTAAGCATCAAGAATCTGCCACATTCACTTGGTATTATCTTCTCCCCTCTTATAAAGGCCACTGAGGTCAACTGCCTTCTGAGAAGGAGTAACAAAATCCTCTGCTTGGAGAATTGTCTTCCTAAGTAATCAATTCCCATCAGAAATAGGGTTGTTAAAGTAACCATAAATATTCCAAACTAGGGTTTGAGTTGCCTTGTTTTCATTTTCTCTCTCTGTTGTCTTTTCCTTCTGTGCTATGAATTTGAGGACTAGGGCACCAATGTTGTTAATGAACATATTAATTGTATCGCAAAACACAAATATCTGTATTTGTATCTCATTCTCTTTTTCTGTAATCCAAATTATGATAGGCTAAGGAAGTATGATTTTGTTCAAATGCTCTTAATCTTAATGGCATATAGCAGTCATGGAGAATCTTTTAGAGACTGAGTGCCCAAACTGCAACCCAAAACCCACTTATGCATCGTCGAGTGCTGGGTGGGTGTGGCCCATTGGGTGGGTGTGGCCCATTGGGTAGGCATGGCTGCGGTGGTAACGGCAGACTGGGTGGGACTAAAAAGTTCAATCAATCAATTCCAACTTTGCAAGATCTTTTTTTTTCCCCGTGAGAAGTTGAATTTGACTGATTGAACCTTTTTTTTTTTTGCACATGGCGGCGTAGGCCTAAAGCGAAAAGGTTTTATAAAACCCAGCTGAAGGCCTAGAACTAGGGCGACGGCACGCGTGCCCACAGAGAGGGTTCTGAGTGCTGCCTCTGGCACCCGTGCCATAGGTTCGTCACCACTGGCATATAGTGTATTTAAAAGTTTTATTGTAGGTTTTCAGTTTAATTTCTTTTTTATCCTTCTATAGCTTCTTGATTTAGTTTTGTTGTTTAGCTTAAATTAATGCCTACAAGCATTTCTTCTGTTTTCTTTATGCCTTGTTGTTGTTTCACTTTTTGACAAACTCTGCTCAGAAAAAGATAGTACTTTTCTGTACTATAGTCTTAGTAGTAGCCAAGAAAAATAGAGCAGAATATATAATAATAGGTTATTTCTTCCAAGCCTTCTCTTAAGAGAGGACAGAATTAACAAGTTTGCTACTACTACTGTCAGTGTCAGTAAACTTAGGGGAACAGCATCTTGAAAGCGAAATGCTATTTCTAGAAATATGAGGAAAAGTAAGCAACATAATCATAATTTCTGAGGTAATCAGTGAGAAGATTGTACGAGGCAGTTGAAACAGCCATTCCTAAAAGTATCTGGCTCATTCTAAGAGTATATGGAATTTTTGAGGTAGAACTGACTAGAATATCAAACCACGTCTAAGGAAAGCCACGTTTCAAAAGATTGAGGCAGACAAAAAGCTGGCTGGTGTGTGGATGGGAGGGGGGACAGAGGAAGAACAAATGGTTTTACAGCAAAAGTCCATTTCTGAACCAGTTTTTTTTCAGCTACAGAGCATTGAAGCAGCCTTCCCCAACATTATGGTGCCCTTCAGAAGTGTCTGGATGGCTTTGTTAGCTAGGAATTGTAGCCTGGAAGGCACAGTTTGGAGAAGGGTGTCCTGGAGGCTTTATAGCTTTTCTTAAAATTAAAATGATCTTCAATAAATTCAAAGTCTGGTATAGTTCTTTACAACAGTACATATCTTCTATTTGATCTTGCTTTTATGCCTGAATTGCCAACTATCTGCTGTCTCTAAGCAGATGTCAGAATCTCTTTGGCCTGGGCTTTTCCTGAAAATCTGAGCAGGGTCAGACCTGGTTAGTATTTGGAAAAGAGACTACCAGAAAAAAATGGGGTTGTAAGCTAGATGGGAAATGAAAAGAAATTATTGGATTTAATTGCTGCATCTATGAAACCAGAACTCAAGCTCAACCTGAAGTCTCTATAGACACTCATGTCTACAAATGTACTATATAGCTGAGGTGTAACCATTTTAATTCCAAAGCATTTTGCTTTCAGATAGATTTTCTCACACAAGTAAATTCCACTCTCCCTACACACTGTGGAAAGAAGGTATAGTGGTGATTAAAGACATAATTCCCAAGACTAAATATAATGATTCCTCCAGCTTACAAAGGAATGCCTTCAGTGAGGAAAAATGCTTCAGAAGCCACTAATCTCCCTAAATGCTCAACTCAATAAATCACCAAGACTGGAGGAAACCAACTAAGTTACTCATCCTCTGTGTCCCGCCACAACAGATGGCCACGCTGTCTTTCCTAACTCTTCAACTGTTGATATCCAAACTCCCATTTCAACCAGATCTTATTTATACATGAACTCTTAAGAATAAGATGGGTTTCCTTATTTGGCTTATTAAGAGACCTAATTTAAACAACTTCATTCAACTATGCTTAGAGACATTTTTGCACAGGAAAAAAAAATATCTGGTGTAAGCCATGCTAAACAAAATGGCACACAGGCTTGATTTTAAGGCTGAATTTAGTAAAATATAGATAATCTTTATTGTCATTTTTCCCTGTGGGCACAATGGCACACATTAAAAATGAAATTTAGTTGCTTTCTCTCAAAGTGTACACATACATAACACACATTAAAAACATACTATATACAACATACATATAGACCTACACCTTTATATATAAAATACAGGAAGAATCAGTGCATCCATCTCTTTGCTGCCTACTGTCCTCTCTTCCACTTTTCCTTTGTTTTATCTTTATCATGTTTAATTTTAATTGAAATCACAATACCCTTTTGTACTATTATTGTTAGAATCAACCTATGCCTGTAACAAAGCTGTGCATCAGAGGAAAAGGCTACCTAGGCAGGATACTACATTTAGGATTTCCCCCACGCAGAATGTGCATACAGGAAGTCCTCAATTTATGACCACATATTAAGCCCAAAATTTCTCTTATTGAGACAGTTGTTAAATAAATTTTGCCCCATTTTACGACCTTTCTTGCCAAAGTTGTTAAGTGAATCACACAGTAGTTAAATCAGCGGTTCTCAACGTTTGTGTGACGGCGACCCCCATCACACGGACGCGCCGCGCATGTGCAGCGGCGCCCCCATGCACAGCGCCCCCATGCGCAGCACACATGCGCGGCGGCAATCCCATGCGCGGCGGCGGCCCGAGGGGGGGAAATGGCGAATCGTGTTGTTTGGCGACCCCTATAAAATGGTTGTTTGACCCCAAATGGGGTCGCGACCCATAGGTTGAGAACCGCTGAGTTAAATGAATCTGGCTTCCCAGGTCACAAAAGGGGATCACATGACCCTGGGGCACTGCAACCATCATAAATATGAACCAGTTGCCAAGCATCCAAATTTTGATCACTTGACCCTGGGAATGCTGCAATGGGACTGCAAAAACCAGTCATAAACCAGTTTTCAGTGCCGTTGTAATTTCGAAGCCACTAAACGAACTGCGATAAGTCGAGGACTGTCTATACTTATCTGTATATTTACAAAAGAAAAAGAAGCCCCCACCCCGTCCCTTCACGCAAAGGAACGGAGCATGGCCCCGAGAGGGAGACGCAAAGCGCTCTGAGGCGCGAGGGGTGCCCTTCTGTCCAGCGGTGCCCTCTTGCCCCTTCTGACCGCCCGCCTGGCCGTCCACTCACCACATCCACCACCTCCCGCTGACGAAACGCCTTTTGTTTCCCTTTCGGCGTCTCCGTCGAGGTCCCGGGCGACGAAGCTGCCGCCAGCAAAAGCAGCGAAATCAACAGAGCAGTAGAAAGCGCGGTAGGGCAGTGTTTCATGGTCGGCGAGTGCTGGCGACTGGGAACGACTGGCCGCTGCGCCGGTGAGCACAGATGAATTGGGCAGTGTCCCGTAAAGCCGCAGCCACACAGACGAGGCTTTCACCGCCGGAGAGCGCCAGTTCTCCCTGGGGGCGGTCAGGAATGCGCCGCTGGCTCCCCTCTGCAAGCGGCGCGCCTTCACCCGATTAGCTGTGGCCGGGCAGAGCCAGCCGGGGGCGAAGAAAGCAGCGAAAGTAGCTCTCCCCCGCCACTTTACTCTGGGCGAGAGAGGAGGGAGGCCGTTTCTGGGGCGAGCGGCGGTGCGGTTCCCCGCTCGGTCCCTGCGGCGCTCCCGCCTTCTCGGCCACGTGGGGGCGCGGCGGGGCTCCTCTGCTCGCCATCGAGCCACAGGTTGGCCTCTCCCTCTCGTGTGGATCGCTTGGTAGGAAGGCCAGGTTTTGGGCATGGCCCAGTCTTTTCCACCTCGACGGTCCTCAGTTCCTGACGCGTCGCCTGCCGGGTTTGCTGGAGAGCGCGAGTGCGGGCCGAGCTCGCTGGCGGTTGCACAAAGAAGGCTCCTCGCCAGGTTCTCGCGTCCGGCGCGCGATCTCCAAAACAGCGCGTTGCAGCCGGAGAAAAAGAGACGACGCGGATTATGTGGGAAGCAGCAAAGCATTTCAGTTTCCCGTGGAAATAACGGGAAAAGTGAACCGCCGCTTGGGGCGGTTTTCTATTTTAAATTAGGAAATAAGCAATGGAAACAAAGCTTTTTCTCCAGTGGGAAGTTTTTAAACGAAGTATAAAGAGATAATTGTTGAAGTCAAACTGCTACTTATTGCATTTAAATTCTATCTTTTCTTTGAGAATGCAGAGAGCGACTGCTTAGTTTTCATGACCAACCGTCTGGTAGAATAGGCTTGGCTGACTGGGTGTGATTGATACAAAGACGTTCAGTAGACTTCCAAAAATAGAAGTATTTTGTCAGATAAACATGTTTTGTTTAAAGGTGTTTCAATAAAATTTGTTAATTTGAAAAGATGTTACCAGATTCCTTTTGATTTTCCTGCTATCAGAAATTAACAAGATTCTCTTCCTGCAATAAAAAAATTATGTGGTCATTACAAGTAGAAAATGATGTGATGCCACTTAATCTTCTGTTTGTTTTATTAAATTTGTTTGCTGTCCATCTCATATCCAACGGCTCTGGAAGGCTTACAAAATTGTAATTTTACAATCTCACTAGACTTTGTGGTGAAAAAGAGTCCTTATCCCATATCTCCCTGGCCTCAATTTAAAAGAAATGAAATGTAGACACTACTTAAAAGTATCCCCATTTAATATCCTTTGTAATCTCAGACATGGAATCATCCAAGTAGAATATAATATACCAAGAAAAGACTTTCCTCATTTTTATCTCATTAGAAAAGCATGACATTTGGTCCTCATGATTTTCATCTTGTCACATTTCCGGTTGTGATTCACACAACCTTGTTCTACCAATTTCTTGCTTAACAGCTGCAAAATCCTGAGGCCTGCAGAGCAAATCTAGGCAGTGTGTCATTACCGCCATCAGCTCTAACTATACCAAGTTCTGGGTTTGGCTAATATGGTCTAATAAGAAAAAGCTAAATTAGCCACCATCAAAAGATTATACCAGCATTAACTACTGATTTCATAAACACATGTTGATAGCAGGAAAAAAATACTTTCATGGTAACAAGGAGTTATTGCTAGACAGTCAGCAGACATTATGCATATTATTATTATTGTTTATTAATGTCCATTAATGTCAATGTTATTTATTGGCAGAATCTAAATGTGCAAGAAAACCCAGATCTGATTTGGAAAGAAAAATCTTTACATTCCTTTTGACTGTACCACCAAATTATAGTAGCAGATTTTAAAAAAAAAATGCTATCATTCTAAAGCAAAAACACGAGAACTGTACATAATAAACAGTGAAATAAATTTGACATAATAAAAGGATCAATTTCATGTCCATGTTGACATGTCACATGCTCTTTCTTTTGCATCATATTGTTTTCTGTGACTGAGGTCTCCAAAATGTTTATTGCAGCCTCTAAACTTTTCCTTTTCTTGCAGATGAACAATTTCTAGTGATGTGAATTATAGGACATTGTGTAAATTGTGTAATTTACCACTTTTTTGTCTCTTAAGAATATTTTGTGTGTATGAAAATAAGACTTTGGAAGCAAAGGAGTAAAACTCCACTAAGAATTCTCTTTGGCTGAAATTTCCAGAAACAACCATGTAGTAAGATTTTGCAACATTAAGGTCTCATTTAGGGTAAGCCTGTAGGAGAAGGAATGACAGAACCTGGGGCAGAGTTAAAAGAAGGATCAGCCTAGAATCTCTACAATAGACACAAGCAAATTAAGTCCAACCCCTCTTGAGTTTCATTTATGCTTATTTAACCCCAAGCATGCTGCTAACCGTTGGTTGAGAAGATTCCTGTGCATAGACACGAACAATAATAAATCATTTTAACTTTCTCTTGTGGATCTGATCTTTCCCACCTGAAAAAATCTTACAAGGGAGAGTGATTCATAAACAAAAAAAGCCTATTCATGTTATCTTTAAGTCTATTACAAGATACCAGGATGTAAAAATGTTTTTTTTCTCTCTCTCCTCCCTCCCTCTCCTTCCCATTCTTCCCTCCCCCCCATGTATGTGTGTGTGTGTGCGTGCGTGCATGTTCACCAAGACACTCATGAAACATTCTGATATACAACCAAGATGATGATACCTATTCAGTCGTTTCTGACTCTTGGCGATTGATTCTATGCACCAGGTTTCTCCACATTTTCCAATCTTGAACTACTTCTTTGAGTTGTTCTATGCTGCGTCTGGTGTCATCTATGTCCAGTCACCATGTTTTTTGGTGGCCTGGTTTCCATTTACAGTTAAGTCTTCCAAAAATAATTGCTTTCTCCAGTGAATTTCCCCACAGAACATGGCCAAAGTAAGTGAGATAGCAATTTTGTAATTTTGCCTTTCAGTGATACGTCTGGTATTATGTGCACCAAGATATATTCCTTAACCACTCCAATTTATTATTTTCTGGTGTCTCTTTATAGCCCCGTCTGTGTTCCAAGGCTAGGAATTCATACATGAAAGAAACATAAGTGATGCGAGGATAAAATCCAAGGCATTTTGACCTTCTATTATTATAAGTAGTTTATTTTACTTTACTAGAAGATAAAATCTGTTCAGTTCTAGATCTGCAGCCTGATATAAGGAAGCAATAACTCTAGAACCATATTTGTTCAAGGTACTGTTTTCTCTCCCTTTTTCAGCCAATAATCTACTGTGCACCAACAGTATACTGTGGCACATGACTCAATCCATTCTCATGTCCATGTTTCCTAGTCTTTTCAGCTGTTGCCAAGTGGACTAATTAACTTCCAACTTTTTGACATTTCCTCTTGCCCCACCTTCCAGTGAAAATTAAATAAAAATCTGTGTGGCCAGCACTGTCAAGGAAACAGCTACAGGGAACAGAGCCAGCCCACATCTTTTTGCCCTTTTTTAAATTGTCTATGTAGCTGCAATAGAGGTAAAAACCAAAAGAACCACTGAAATAGCCTTTTTGTGAGGCCTCTCTATGATATCTCTGCTGCAAATGGGGAAAAAATTAACTGATCAGCTGTTTGGATTACATAAATCAGTGTTTCTCAGTCTGGACAGCTAGGACTTCAACTCCCAGAATTCCCCAGCCCAGCATGCTAGCTTGAAAATACTGGGAATTGAAATCCATTCATCTTAAAGCTGCCAAGGCCGAAGAACACTGATGAGGGGACAGTTATTATATTCCTAAATTAAACCATGTCTATTTGGAGTCAAAAATCATCCCTTCAATACCAACTATGGCCAGGCTAGGTCATTTGAACTTCCTCATATAATTCAGTTAAGCATGTCATCCACAGCCCTGAAGAGAGATAGGTACTACTGGTACATTCAGCCTCTTAGTAACATTGTGGAATCCTTGATGCTCTTTGAGCTTCATTATTTGCTTGCAGACACTTCATTATTGAATTACATTAACAACTTAGTAGCATTTCTAATTATTTTTCTATGTTAATGAGTTAAGCAGGGTGGGATTGCTTAACAACTTGGTTGCACCTGGGTGTGGAACACCAGGAAATTTCAAGCTTGTATTTGAACTGTCTGACATTGCTCAGTTAGTTGCCCACACCTGTCAGTATTTCTGAGTCATAAGCAAAGCATGTTTGATTGCACGTTATGAAGCTGGCTTTTAGCATCTCGTCACCTTATTTATGAGGCTTGCTAGCTTCCAGTGAGATTTTTTTTAACACAATGCATCTAAAAATATTTAAATGCCATGCACCATGTATATGTAATGACTTGCTTAAAGCAAAGTCTCATGCAGCTTAAATCAATAATACCATTTAACCCAGTATCAGCAGAATATTTTTAAAATGACTATGAATAGGGACATGGTTATTGATTTCTGAGGAGCTGCAAAACAGAGTGAAGGGCATATATTACACATGGGGATGCAAGTTTTTTCAATGAGTATGATATTTTGGTGTGTGTTTGTTTTTCAGTTATAGTAAGAATATTTTAGGACTTACAGTAACTTTTGGGGAGACGGGACTTCACACCTCAAAATGGCAAAAAATATGCTGTCAATTTTTAATAGTTACAGTATTTCCAGAGTTATTTAAGAAGCCCTTCCTAGGTGTATTAATAGTTATGTATCTAAACTAGCTTACTATTTCTATTTTAACAGTATTTGAAATTCACTTGGGAACTACTCAATTTGCTATTGTCTACTTACAATGATACTGAGATTTATCATGGGTTTTATTTTGTTCAGTGTCTTCATTCTATAACTTTTCGTGAAGACGCTTGTCTCCCACTTGGAAGGTTGAGAGTTTAATCCTAGGCCAGTGATGGCGAACCTTTTAGAGATCGAGTGCCCCCAAACCACACCGGTCTGCCCGCCTGCTCCGCCGCCTGCCTCTTCTCCACCCCTGCTCCGCCCCTGCCCACTCGCAGGGCCACGCACTACCTCCACGGTGTGCCGCAGATCACCCAGGTGGCCCTGCAGTGCCATGGCAGCCACGCCCTTCACCCGCACCCAGCAGCATCATCTGTGCGTGTCAGGGTGCGAAGGCGGAGTCCCTGCCTGGCTGCCATGTTCTTGGCTGTGCTGTTCTGCGTGGGCCGCGCCCGGGGGCGACTCTCCGGGGGGCTGCTGGTGAGGAAGGGGCCATGGGGGGATGCGGGGCTGGGGCAATGGCACACATGCCCACAGAGAGGGCTCTGAGTGCCGCCTCTGGCACACGTGCTATAGGTTCGCCACCACTGGCATAGGATCAGTTTGAAGAAAGCACAACCACGAACGCGAAGCCAAAAAATAGCAAGGCAGCCCACCATCTTAAACCCCCCTGCAACTCAGACTAACCTGAGCACAACAAAGGGGACCCAAACAGAACACTCCCCCATCAAATCAGAGCACAGCCAACCCCATCCAATCAGAGCACAGCCAAACCCCTAACCAATCAGAACACACCTCCACCCAATCAGAACACAGCCAAGCTCCCTCCCAATCAGTTCATACCCCCACTGGCAGCTAAAAGGAAGAAACAGCTAAGACCACACATTGCTCTTCGAAGCACAAAGCTGAAAACACCAGCCTGAAGATGACGAATGGGACTTCGTCGAAACGTCGCCAAGACACTTCCAATTTTACGCGGGAGAAAACCCAAATAACCAAAGACCTACAGATAGATAGATAGATAGATAGATAGATAGATAGATAGATAGATAGATAGGTGTTGGCTCTTGTTCCTTTTTTGCTCACCACCAATGTTAAAAATTCTCATGTTTTGCTTTGCTGTATTTTAAACATAACTAATTGGTGCAAGACCTTTGCTGTGGTCATGGTGGACTAG